CAATCTAAGTACGACATCAGTAAAAAATTGTCGAGAGATGCATAATCAAATAATAGCACCACTCATATTTCTTACTGCTCGTCGAAATTTGCACTTTTCTCCATGGAACAATAGAAGCTTAGTAAAAATGTTGATAAACAGCACCACAAGTAGTTATGATAGACCGACTACAATGAATAGCTAGTTTCATTACAGCCAGTAAAAGAGGCAACGCAAGAAACAGTATTGTAATTTTTATGCAAAGAATAAAAAGAGCGGAGCCAAAAGGTAGTTACGAGAAGAAAAAATTGAATTTATCGAATTAACCGAAAATGATTTTCATTTAGATCATAGAAGTTTGCCAAACACGGACTTTCGTATGCAAACCAGTCCAGTTAGGGAGCTCATACCACTTTACTGCTTAAATCAATAGTCAGTATTACCGAAGACAAATGTTTGCATGTGGTTTATTACTCAGCATCAAATTCTAGGGTTAGTCTGATATGTGTAGTGTATAACGAGATTAGTCCGTTCGATAAATATTTTCATCTAATTGCCTAATTAGCTTCAGGGTAGCAGTCCCAAAGTTTGCCAACCTTCTGTTTACAGCAGTGGATCTAATAAAGGTGTTCACACAAATTAGCTGATATATACATTTATCATTACAAATTTAACAGTCAATTGATTAGACTTACCTTGACTGTCTGTATAAGTATAAGTATAAGTGCCATAAACAGTATTTCCTATAGTTATCTGAACCTCGCTTATTTAACTAATTGACTAGTTACTAGACAGTCCTAAGACCGGATAAAGAGGAAGGTTGGGTATAGGGTTACCAACCCTAACCCGGAAAACCAATCTAACCACTAAAGACACTTCAAAGCACACAAAAATATACAACATTAAAACAAACTTATTCCTCGCTGCAATTGGAGGGACGAAATGACGCCGGTTGTGAAAGCCTTCAGGAAGTCAATTGGTCGATGTGTCTTCTCTTCCCTCGATGAAAGCAAAAGTAAACATGGAGACATGGAATGTTCACACAGTGTTTGAAGCTGGTTGGCAAGGCTGTCCAGATTGCAAAAGAGATGAGAAGGTATAGCATAGAACTGCTGGGAATCTGAGAAAGCAAGTGGAATGGAAGTGGACTCTCCCAACTGTCAACTGGAGAATCAATAATCTACTCCGATATTGTCACCCAGACGACAACCACTAGCACACTGAGTTTTCGAGTGTCTATCATGATGTCCCCAAGAGCATCGAAGGCTCTCTCTCATGCAGTGGAAACCAACCTCCTCCACGATCAGGATCATGACAGCAAGATTCAACTCCTCAAAAGGAAGGAAAGTCACAGTCACACAATGCTACGCTACGCACCTACAAATAATGCGGATCAAGAGAAGAAGGAGGAATTCTACATGCAACTGCAATCAGTACTGGACAAAACCCCACCCCAGTTGGGGACATCAAAACTCATTCTAATAGGTGGGGTGACATGAATACCAAACTGGGAGCAGACAACACAGGAAGAGAACTCATCATGGGTCGAGAAGCACTCACTGAAATGATAAGTGAGAATGGAGAACTGTTTGCAGATTTCTGCGCATTCAACAATTTGATGATTAGAGGCAGTGTGTAAAAACACAGGCATATTCACAAGGCAGCGACATGGATTTGACTTCACCAGACACACTAAAAATCAGATCGACTTCATCTCAATGTGAAGGGAGTGGAGACGCAGCCTACTGGACACGAGATCAGATCAAGAAGGGGAGCAGATGTAGGTTCACACCACTCACTATCTAGTGCAAGGAACCTATATTCAAAATCAAGTTGAAAGCCTCCAGTGAAGCTGGTGATAGACGACCACAGTTCAAGTTGAACACCCAGAACAGAGACTGAACTCAACTGAAGGACGAAATTACAAAGGAGATCTTCACGTCAGTCAGCCATCAGGACAAAATGGGAGACATTGGACAACGTCCCTGACGAAACCTGCTCGAAAGAACACTGGAACTCTCTGAAGGCGATATGGAAAGGAACCTGAACAACCACATTAGGAAGGAAGAAGAAAGAAGACAAGACGAGGAATGGATCTCGACGGACACATGGAAGCTGATGGGGGAGGGAGAGGATGATGGTGAAGTAGAAGATGAACGAGTGCAGTGTCGAGATGAACAACGAAAGGAGGAACCGAACACAACCTATACAACATTGTACTGGACAAAGTAGTGAAGTAGAACAGGCTGCAGGTAGGCGAGACAGAGAATAGAGAACCTGACAACATTATATCAAATAACCAGGTTACTTACTATATGTGAGGGAAGAGATCAACACAGATGAAACCAATGGATGATGGTGAAGGAAACTTAGTTACCAAAGAGGAGGAACAAAGGAAACGATGGGCTGACCACTTCAAAAAACTCTTGAGTCGACCACCACCACCACCACCACCACCACCACCTGCAACTCGTCCAGAAATATCACCAGCGGCCACAGAACCATCGGTGAACACAAACCCTCCGACAAAAGCCGAAGTGAAGTCCTGAACAGGATAAAGTTGCTGAAATCCGGGAAAGCAGCAGGAGTAGATGGAACCCCACCAGAAGCACTGAAAACAGACTCAGAGACATCAGCATACATGTTCACACCACTATTGCAGGAGGTTTGGAAGGAAGGCAGGAAAGGTGTCTGTAGAGTGGGAGAAGAGCTACCTTGTCATAATCTCAAAGAAGGGAGACCCAAGTCTTTGCAAGAAGTGGCACGAAATCATGCTCTTCTCCCTGTCCATCCCAATCAAAATATTATGCCGCATCATCCTGGAGAGACTAAACAATGTGCTGGATTCAAAATACGAACGGAACAGTCTGGCTGGCTGGCTGGCTTCAGGAAATGCAAATCATGTGCACATCAAATTGTACCGCCCCTCTACGCATCATCTCATCACAGAAGAGAGCGTAGAATGGCAGTCAACTCTTCACCCTACCTCAACTTCATCGATTTTGAAAAGGCCTTCGACAGAGTCGACCGAGATGTAGTTTGGCAGGCAGCTGCTTCAACACTATGGTTTTAGTGCCACAAACCTTTATCAACCTCATTCAACAGCTACATGTTAAATGAGGATGCTACATGCCAAGTAATTCATAATGGAAAGGTCAGCGATGCCTTTGAAGTGAAGACAGGAGTAGGACAAGGTTACCGCCCTCTATCACCAATCATCTTCCTGATTGTGGTGGATTGGAATGGACTGGACTGGAGTGGAGTGGATCATGCAACAAATTGTGACGATCCAGAAGAGGGCATACGCTTTTATAGGTCACTCTGTTTCATGAGCGCAATATGAAGTGGCAAAATGATTAAGGGTTTATTGTGAAGTTAAGAAAGTATCTAAAGTTCAAGGTATCATATTTGTTTTCAGAGGCTTTTGTAATTTTCACACTTTTCTGAAATGATATTTCCTATCGATTTGGTTCTATAAGCCAGTCTAATATTATCATGAATGAACACTTGTTTTCGTGAATGCTTGGTATGCTATGATTCATTGTGAGGTTTTTTAGAAACTTTTGGCTTTTCTGAGGAATCTTGGGGGTAATAATTGAATTCACGACACCTTGTTCTTTGAAATTCCAATTATGATCATGAAGTTGACATTGTGTTCAATTGAATTGTCTTGACGTTTTTCTTGAAACAAATCGTTCATCTTTGTCTTGGCTCTAGGCTGTCAGAGTTATGGCAAATTATCCTGCCGCTACTTCATTGTAATCCAGATTCCGACTTCTCTGAGCTGTCTAGTAAAATAGCTAGTGGTAAGCTGTGGCATAGATCCACTTTAGCGTGTTTATGAAATTTAGGCTTTATTTGGCTTTGTATCCTCCATATTTCTGACTCAATCTGTACTTTACTTATGGTTTGCATCACATGTGTATTTACACGCTTAACGCACTACACATGCTCACCATCCTTCTCAACAAACTCATAATGAAAAATCATTCATGCAGAAAAACTGGAGTTCATATATATAGTCTTGAATCTTGTGAACTCCGGTCTACCAAAACTTTGGTGAAGCTAATAACACTTATTGGTGTGACTTCAGTTAAAACATTATTGTTCACTGAGAAATATAAACAAAATAATATTTGAATGTGTCTGCTTTGGAAAGATCTGCGACTCGAAGCAATTTTTTGAGTTGTATACCATATTCATTGCACTGTCAGTGTCAAAAATCAGCTACCATTCATGTAAACAACCAAAATTTTCAGTAGATGCATTTTAATTTTCTTGTTGACACTTTTAATGTTGAAAGACAACATAAGTAATATATGTTTTGTCATACTGTAGTCTTCTCGGTGGCTAGCAGTGGGATCCAGGATGCACGTGCCGCCCTATCTGGGACTCATCAGGTGGATGTGCCTGTGTCCTAGTCTGTGGTATTGTTCCCAATAGGACTCGAACCTAGTAGCTATAGCTTCAAATTCCAGTATGCACAACATCACTCATTGGGGTACAAGCAAACCCAGCTGACGAGTCCTGAATAGGGCGAAACAAGCATCCTGGATTCCATTGCTAGCCATAAACCAGACTACGACATAGCGGACATCTGAAAAACACGAAGGGATCCTTATAGGAGCCTGCCTCTCAAGAGAGGTCGGGCAATTCAACGCAGGAATGCAACAGAAAGTTACAAGTACCAATAAACAGTATATGTTTCAGTCCTTCATAATAAACTTGAGGAAATCTGAAACTTGTTAAGTATTCTAAACAAAGGTCTGAATAAAATTCGGAAACCAAGATTTAATAGTTTCTGAACTGAATAGAAGATTTTCTTAGAAAAAATTTTGTAGTAATAATGAAATAGTAAAACGAAAAAAATCTAAAAGTAGTTCTAACATAGTGCAGTGTCTTTTTCGTTTGCACCAAGCCAACAACCTCATGAATGCTATAGGAATGCAGAAGGACTGCAATCATTAAAAAATAAAATCCAATTAATTTATACACTACAGCATTATGACGTGAAAATTTACCTGGTCCAACACAAGTTTTATTAAAGAATCTCTCTGCTGTTGTATCAAAAGGTTTAGGGCGAAAACGTCTTAACCACCTCCTTGAGATTGCACCATCTTTCGGATCATATTTGTTTGGTGCTGGTGTGTCAGTCAACTTTTCTTTGAACCTCTTAGAAAACACAACATCAAATAAAATTTTTACACTTTTTCAAAAATTTGAAAAAGAAGGAAACAAAGTCTTAGGAATTTCAATTTTAAAATTATGTATTTAGATATTGTATTTTGAACAAACTACGTAATTCTATTCTTGTTTCACTGCACGTAAACATGTTTCGAAATTAACCTATAACCCCTAAAGCTACATGTTACCATACTTTTTTCCAAACCAAACTTTTTCTTCCCTCAATAGAGCAGGAAACAGTGGAAAATGGAATTTAGCATGAAAGATTCAAAGCGGTTTTGGAACACCCCTTACCTGCTTTAGGTTCTTTGGATACATACGGCTCTAAAGTTTTCAACCACTGATTTGGTAGCAATAAAATATGTTGCTCAAATATTACCATATCATTGTCATAATTTAGGTTTGATTAACTTGATAAACTCTCACTTGTCTTTTAACTAAACAGTTTTCAGACAAGCTTGCTAGCATTCTAGAAGTATGCTGCACCATGTTGAACTATGACCCCAATACAAATAATGATTTCATACAAACATATGAGTTTCTAGTTGGTAACCGGTCATTTGGCTGCACATTCGAACTCTGAACTCAAACACATCAAATTACAAGTAAATGGTATGCGCTTTGCCAATGACCAGCTGATGCTCGACGGGTTTCCCCCTAATCTAAAACAGGTCATAAATTATCGCATTGCGATTATTATAAACTTATACATATTTAATTAACAATGAAATAATTAGTCTGCTTTCATACGGTTAAGTGTTCTTTAAAAATTTACTTTGGGTCTTCGATACTCCTAAATGGATTGCCTTCATCGACTTCCAAAAGGTCACAAGTGTTTTTGGAATTACGAAAAAGGTGATCCGAAAAGTAGTTTTGAAGCCAATCATTAACTACACAGCTCAGAAATATGTTTTTTATACATCAATTGCAAAATGGAAGTACCATAGTCACCCGTGAAATTATAGGAATTAATTTTCTAAAAAACACCTTTTACAAATGAACAAAAGTTAACTGAAAATTACTTGTTCCTCAGTATTGAATGGAGCTTGCAGTCCGTTAGCTTTCGATATTTGCTTTTCCAGTATGTTGTATGAACAAGGGCTAGGAAAGTTCTGTTTCATTGTGAAAAAGATGTGGAAAACATTTTGTCAATGTTAAGCTCCGATTTGTGAAATAATTTATTTAAGACAGGACACAAAAGATAGTATTCATTCAATAAACACAGTCAATACATTCATCTTTGTAATTTGTGTGTCATTCTGTAGTAAAGCGAATTGCAGGACTCTAAAAGTCAAGTAAGCAATCTCATTAGTCTGAAGCAGTCTCTTGATATCAACAAGTAATACACATGGTTATTACCCCTGGATGTCAGTGGTTTGAATCGTACTAAAACTGAGACCTTTTTTTCCCTTAATCTTCATTAGAAAATCAATCCATCAACCATGAATATTTCAAACACAACAAATAATATTCAATGAGCTCGTAGTGTTTTCTTTATGACTATTTTAAACGTCAACCTAACATTCAAGAATTTGGTAGTTCTTGGTGGATCCTCCTGGAGAAATTTCGATTAAAGAATGGATTGCAAAGATGATAGTGTTGGAGTGACTGTTCTAAATAACATTTCAACCACTGCATTCATATTAAAATACAGATTTTCTGAAAATATAAGGACCACCTGTAAGTCAGTATCATAACAACGCATTCAAGGACACATTTTAATATATATATATATATATATATATATATATATATATATATATATATATATATATATATATATACGAACAGGAAGCCTGAAGACTTTAAATGAAATCACCGGTCTTCATAAAAAGTAATAACATCCTCAAAGTCTGAAAATAAAACCAATCTAACAACTGAATCGATTTGTTGCATTGTTTCAAAATAGGGTTCAGTTCTTTTTTGGCTTTTACTCAGTATGGATACTTTGTGCGACGCATAATTTATGATAACAAATTATTCCATTGCTATTTTGTACAATGATATTGTAAGGACAGTAAAGATATATATATATATATATATATATATATATATATATATATATTTAATCACAAAACATTGACTGAACTAATGACATCTGAGAGTTAAGTGATATAAATTATCGAGAATAAAATCTACCAAAATGATAAATCACAAAGACAACCTAAACAGACACAACCATACATAACTCAAGCTTTCAATAATACACACTCAAAAATCAGTTAAAGTCTAGCGTTAAGGGTTTGGTTTAGGTGATGGCCTCAGTTTTTGTAAAGTGTGTTTATCTAAGCACAAAGTACAATATTTGTATCGATCATAAGCTCGTCTAATTCACACAAATTAGACAGAAATTACAATGATAAATGTGACAAGTGTATTAGCATATTATGAAATGCCCGTTCTAACAGTTTGGTAGACAAAAAATTCTATCTCACCCTTGAGAATACAGGTCAGGATGTTGTTCTTTTATTCTACAAACCGACAAATGTATTTAAAGTTTTCTTCTTAAGTAACATCAATTGGCAACAAACAAAATCAACCCCGAAATTGCCCTCAACCTACAGTAATTGTTAGGCTTAAAGATGCAGTGGTTTTTATCATGTACTTCCGATATTCAGTTCATGTTCACAAGACGTACAGCTTTAACCATAAATCAAATGGCCAAAGTTTAATTACATTTAGATTTTTTATACTAGTAAATAATTCCGCTCAAACCTGATGTAATTAAGTCACTTACAGCAAAGGCTCGAAGATCCTAGAGACAGGATTTTCAAAACGATTAGAAAACAATTTCAGAAAATAAAATCTGTACAAGTTATTGCATGTTTAAATAGAGACTGGGAAAAAATCAGGTTGGATAGTCTGAATATGTGTACACATATTCACACCGTCACCTTGAACTCACAGACTAATAATTGATGATGAGAACATTTGATCCTATCTTTTCACCAGTTTCATTTACTTCGTTAGAACAACATGATGTGGTTTGTTTTGTTTCCACTTACTATTTAAACATGTGATAACCTGTATAAGTTTTCAGCTGTGAACAAGGAGGTTTCTATGAGGTTACGAAACGTCAGAAATTTATTCTCTATCTTACTGGAATTTTACGAATGTATTTTCTTTATAAACCACTGGCCCAGTGCTGAATTTATTTAATTCTACCAGGCTACATTTTGATCCTGAAGTCTACAGCATTGGAAAACAAAACGTATCTTCCGAGGGAGAACCGTAATTTTTATGAGATTCTGTGCAATATTTTGCATTTTTCCCAGCACTGAAAAGTCAGTGGAAAGAGCTCCGCTTTAAATGACAAATCTTCTTTCAATATAAATGTCTCAAAGTTTCAGTAAAAAATAAAATCTGGAAATAAGACCCGATTCAATGTAAGGTTAAGAATGGAGCCTTACGTGTTTGTGCAGCTCATAGACGACTTTATCCATAAATCTTGGGACTGCTAAAGGACGTTCAGCTTCGATAATACTTCTTTCTCTAGCGGACTCAATAAGTTTCTGCCAATGGTCACTATAAGGATTATACTCTCCTGGGCCAACTGAATACGAAGTTCGACGAAGAAGATCACGTTCTGAGGTCTAGAAAATATAGAGACATTGAATCAAAGTAACCGAAATTCTGAACGAACTCAAAGGACGGAAAACATTCCCATTAAAATGAAGTTTCCTGGAATATTTGAAGAATACTGCTTGTTACCGAATGCAAATGTTAAATAACTATGTATTTAAATTGTAGACTGATATGTCTTTGATCACTTTAATCATTTGAGCCCTGAGAAGAATCCAATGAGTGCAAATGAGCTCCTACCACTGATATTCTATTTTCTTCAGTATACGTTAGTTTCAGTCGGTTCTTTAGAGTAAGGTTACATCCACTAGAATGAAAAGTGAGTTACAAAATTGTTTTCAAAAATTACTGAATTATTGAAAGATTCTGCAGAATTAAGAAGGAAATTCTCCGAACCTCAAGCTACAGTATAGTGGTACACAAGTTAATCCACACTTAACTAGCATTACTTACCTTGAAGCAACTCTTTCGAACTATGCATTAACTATTTTTAAAATTTTGTTGGTTTCTGAACACTTTTGGGCATTAACAAATACTCCTAAAGTAAACTTATTCTGTTAATTATCATCATCATCGAATAACAGGTGCTTTATTAGCATAAAGTAGTAGTTAGCCCCCTGTATACCAAAAAAGTGCTCATTCTAAACTATAGCAATAGATTTCCAGGTTATTTTTGGAATAGTCGCAAACAAGTATGTTCGCAATCTTGTGGTTCAAGCCCAACTATCTTAAAAACAACCACAAGCAAACCAAAACATAACAGTATAAACAATGATAAAAAAGCATCGATCGCTTTAGCTAATGATTTGAGCCCATCTGTTCACCAACGTGAATAACAAGATTTTTATCTACAGTAATACTGTCAAGCTACGCAGTCGTAAATTATAAAATTTCAGATAGTTGCAATAGAGAGTTGGTCAGTCAATCCACACATGATAAAACTGATGGTTATCAGGTTAGATGAAGCCTACAGAATAGAAAAAGGGTCTCTGAAAAAGAAAGAATTGATTTCATGAGGTGAAATAACAGCCAAGTACTGTCAGAAAAGTGTAAATTGATGATAACCAAATTGAAATATATACAGTGAAATGAATCAAAATTAACCGAAAAATATACCTTTAAGGCCAAAGTTAAGAAGGCTTCACAGAATGCTTTCAAATATTAGAGTAGGCTTTCAGTAGTAGTATGTAACTAGTACTTTAGTGATTTTATCTGTGGCTGATTGGTCTAGACACTTGATTTTTAACCGATGGATCATCGGTCAGAACTCAGTTTCTCTTATTAGGGGTCGGGCATCCGGCTAAAATTACTATATTTCCCACAATAAGCTTAAGTTATGTGGATAGGTTTATTGAGTGTAATTCGATATTTTTCGAATCTTTCAGCTATGCATAGGTGGTGGAAACATAGACCTTAGGAGTAGTTCAGCTTAGTTCTTTAGATTACCTTGAAAGACAAGCCACGAAGAGTTAGATGATCTTACTCACTTAGGTATTCATACATGGATTAAGTTGTTGATGATGGTGGTCTGGATTTCTCTGGGCTGTGAGGTTTGGTCTTGAAGGTCTCATCACCATTCTGGAAGAGTTCTTGAACATTTACTTTGCCTGCCTTTGGTTAACCGAACCGGATAGTGTTTATTTTACTTAAAGTAATCTGCTCCCACTACCAGTTGTATCATATACGTATTGACCGAGTAACTCTGTAGTGCAATTATCTGAACTTTAAATTTTGCGACTATGTAGCTTGACAGTAATACCACTGAAAAGAAATATTTCTTAAACGATAAAAATCTTGTTCTTTTTTAGCATGGCCAATGTTTTCGTCAGTTATCTCAGGATGAATACAGGTTAATGTGAAAACTATCGTGGTTTCAAAAATACTGGACATTATTTCATTATTTTCACCTACTGATAATTTTGTATCTAAAAATCCTAATAAGCTTGCGTTATCAATAATATTATGTGAAGTACAAGCAAAACTATTACTATGCTCAATGACTGAGTGGTAAAACGTTGAATTTTCTAAAATTGAAGCTGGAAGGGCTGTTTGAGTGTATGAACACCTGAATAGTTAGCAGTCACAGGACTTGTTTTAGAAACCTAAGTTAACATTGAAAGTTTTGAAAAAAAGTAGTAACTTACACTCCTAGACCACCCACATCCCTTATATCTTGTGAAGACTGGATCTTTTGTTGGTCCATAGAAAGCTGGTCCAAGTGTTTCATCTCTTTTGGTCCCGACTGGGGTTGGAGTCTTCCATCAGGACCCTCTTCATAACCGTGTACAAACTGGCCGGATGGTATACTTGGTACATCGCGAAATCGAACATAAGGGATTCGGTCACACTGAAACGGAATATACCATACACAAAGAACCAATTTACTTCCAAACGACAGGGCTCTCTTAAGATGACTGAGGTCAATAGCCAAAGCAAAATCATACTATTCTTTTCCTCTCAGAGTTTTATTTGAGTATAACTTGATGTTATCAATAGCAAAAGACAGAAGTATTTCTTACGCGACTATGAAAAGCCAGCTAAATCAAAAAATTCATTGTCTCTACTCAGTTATCCTACCTTTCTGTTATGAAGTTGAGCAATGCACCACCTCATATTCATGAAAATTATATGAAATGAATGGACTAAATGTAAATATTAACAGTTATATAGCACCAACGTATGTTTAAAGTGATGCCCTAATTATGTGATGACAGATAAAGTACTACTTGTGAGTTACACAAACTTCAAACGTAAAAGATATGCATTCCAAGTGACAATCACGCCTATTGCCTATGAGCACCTACTACCAAATTCAAAAGGGTACATCACAGAGAAGCCTGTAAACAACTTTTGACCAGTAAAGTATAATAATGAGATCTGATACAAGATTTCATTCATATGAGCAGTTCATCGAATTTCTGAAGGATACATGTGCTGTTTGTGTGCTACTGTGAATAACTTTTACTTTTTTAATTTTATTTTACATTTTCACAAACTGAAAGGTTAATAAAGCGTATTTGAATTATCTAATGAGGGATTTAAAGACAAGGTGCTTGTTGCACAAAAGAACTATTATACCTAAAGTGTGTTTCGATCCAGTATTGCATGGAAATCTAATTAAAACCGACCACTCAAAGGAATGTCATCATTATTTTTAATGGCTAACATAAATTAGGAAACAAGAACTGAAGTTGAAAAAATGAAGGGAATCGTAATACCTTGTTTAATTCTAAAACTTAATTACCATCGGCTTCTCTCTGACATATTGTGAGTTCCAGAGAAAACGAATTGAGCCCATACTGTAGGCTACACAAAATGTATTGAAAGAAATCAAACGATGAAACATCTGAACTGGGAATATTTTGACACAACGATCATGAAGATCATTAGTAATTACACTCTAATCAAAGCATTCGTACAAAGCTTAAGCACACAACTGACAACTTCATCCAATGATATGCGAATGCGTCATGTTTTCAGTTTCCTTAAACATCGCTTATCGTTTCTTTGTATGAAATGTTAAGTAAATTTATAGAACAAAATATTTATACAGAAAAAGAAAAGGATTAGTTGTAGGCAAAGCAGTAACGCCTTAGTTTATTTAAAATCAAAATTGATTGTTCTAAACATTTTTCTCCAAGGTGATTTCTAAACTCTATGGTCTCCAACCTGAAATCAGTTGAATATTGAACTCGTAATATTTCACAAATGGCCTACACTAGGAGCAGCTAGTGATTTTCAGACAAATATCTTTGCAAAGGTAACACCAATCGATCACAAAAGTTCCATCCATATACACATATTGATTACTACTAAAGATTCATTATGAGTGATGTTTGTTCGAGAAACTAATTTTTGATTTCACTTTCTAGTGATAACTGAGGATAGACGAAATACTGAACGTTTTTTAGATGGGCAATTTAACCTGAAAAAATGTTTCTAGTTTGGTTATATGCTCACTTCTGATACCGCTATTATTACATAAGGTTGTCAGCATAAAATCACACTTAAATCAAACAGACTAGTAGCCAAAGTCAATCAGTTCCTCAAATTAAAAAGAATAAAAGCCAGTTCTAGCTAAATTTTGGAGTTGTAAAGTGATCTTGAGTGAATCAGTGCTAAAAATGATAAGTTAGTTAAATGTAATTCAAGCATCACAGTATGAGCCTTTCATTACATTGTTTCCAACTTATAAAATAATATCCATTTGATTTTAAAAACATCTGACATCAATGATGATTCTAAAATTGCATATAACTTACAGAAACTGACCGTGTGTTATAGTCTGGTTCACCAGTTAGCTGGTTTAACACTTTCTGCGGAAACAGTAGACCACATGGGTCTGGTTTTTTACCTCCCCATGGTGATACTACATTATAGGCATCAGGCGGCGGTCCATCGGACTTTAACGCTGGAAATCGTTTAGCCTTATTTGCAATTGAACAGCATCCCTGTATCACAGGAAAGGAAATTTATGGTTAAACTTCTACAACATTGCAGTAAACAAATAGGAACAAATACATCGTACGTAATATATCTAAACGGATACTGACTTGAAGCTCATTTAACGATAGCTTCGCATACAAGAAAGGTTAAAGTTTTCAACTGTAGTAAAAATGACCTCAAATCTTATTTCCATAGTCAACAACGACATTTCTCTTGATTCTTCCATTATCGAATGAAGTTATCACAACTGCTAATAATTCCTAAGACAAACATTTAGACACTTCCGATAGGTTTATTTCGGAATTGTTGATGATAAAAATGGGTTATCTTTTACTGCAGTCATCAGTCTTTTAAAATATTCCTTCTTGAGACACCTATTACCGAATAAAACAGCATGTTATTTTCTACTATATTCATACAGATTCAAGAAAGGCATGCTTTGACGTTGCACGGCAAATCAGGTGCGGAAACGGTTTTAAGAGGAAGTGTGTGCAAACGAGAACAATTCTGAGATAATCACTTTCACTGAACTCATTTCTAGCTGATTTCTTAACTGTAAGTTTTGAAAGTATCAGCGCGACACTAAGCCTTAACCGAATAACTTTTTCAAAAAAACTGCACACATTTTGTGTTTCACTTACTGTAGCATGCAAAACATTTGCAACTGTACTGATAGCTACCATATAGTGTCCTTGATTAGGCCACAGACAAATACTTTAAGATAAATTTCACTGACAAGGGATGCCCACTTTACTTGATCCAATCCAGGTTGGAATGTAAATCTTGTTTCCATATCACAAATTTAGTTACAAAGAGGACAACAAATGCATTTTTTAGACCATGAATTGAATTTGTGGTCATATTTCACAGGTTATTTGAAGTGGTTCACTAGCAGTAATACCTCCATAGTCTCTTTGTAAATGGTCTGTTATTGCCACTTACTATTTTATCACTGAACAAGTAATAATTCTCATTATCTGCTTGGTAAAGTCAAAACATGTACTTCTGTTGCTTAAATAAGATAGTTTGTCCTTAATGAAAGAATATTCAGCAGGGCTGTTGCATATCACTCCAACCACTCAGCAATAAGTAGCAGCAGTTATGTAGCAGAACTTTGTGACGGAATTTAAATAAATCTTCATGTGAGTTAATGTCTGAATGCTCCCTTTTTTTCAGAACACTAATAGCTTACAATTTATACAATCAGGTGGAATTATTATAGTATAAACGGTTTCATTGAGGAAGTTCATTTAACATTTAATACCATTTTTTAGTTTTATCATTATATTAAGATCTGTAATCCTTAGCTAATTCTGATTTAAAAGTTTTCTGCTACAATTCTCACGTACACATCTGTAATTCTCTGTGCTACCCAATTACCTAAGTTACTATTCAAGATCCTAGCATGTAAAGATGTTGTGTATGATTTTAGGGTGAATATAAGTTAAAGTAAATAGTGTATGTCAAAGACAAGCTCCAGGAAACAAGAACTCTTCGTTTAGATACTTTTAGAAACTGGTTCCAACAGCTTAACGCCAGTTTATAAGATCTGATGCACCTAAAGACAAATCATTTTGAGCTATTGGACAATATTTTATGTGTGCATCTCGAAAGCAATCCTACTAACAGAAATGAATCTATAGTCAAAGTATTTCTATTGGGAATATGTTAGCGTATTTTAGACTTTTCACTATGTACCCGTGACATGGCTTTCCTGATTTTACCACTTTGAATATCAGTGGTCTTTTGTGCCTGTAGATATTGCTTCAGAACACTAAAAGATAAGAACTGCCAAACATTCATTAGTGCAAAGTCTGTTTCACACCAGCTTAGAATAAATATCTTACCTAAACTTCGTAGCCGTTTCCTCGAAAAATTCAACAGCCATTAGTTTAATACTGCCTGCATTTTGTCCCATTTGCAAAACTAATTATATTAGCCTTAGGTTTTTCCTGATGACTTTTAATCATTTTCACCATCTCTTGTCTTATTTTATTGATTGCTGCTTCTGCATCGTGTACCAGATGTTTGTCGGTCAATACATGCTGCCAACATTTTTTTATGCTGAATCTTTGCTGAAATATTCAACCAAAAATCATTTTGGCTCTTATATTGTGATCTCTCAGGGTTTGATTTAGTTCCTAGAGTTTTAGATGTACCATAATGAGGAGTTGCACACTAGGACGAAATGAATGCCTAGTGATCCAAAGTTTCAGTGGTTCTCCAAATGATGTTACTTCGTAATGACTGCTACTTTCAAATTAGTTAACTTCCACAAACCTCCAAAGTGAAGCAAAATGATTACGAAAGTATAGGACCTTTTTCAATCACTTAAGCAAAATCAAACACTATAAAAAAGGATTATTGATGTTCAACAGTATCTACCCAAACCTGAATATGCATGAAACTTAGGAAATATAATTTGTAAGGAATGAGGTCACAGTTTGATGGAAAGCTATTCTGGTTAAGTTCTAATACCTTACAAAGTCTCTAGATTCTACATTTGACTGATCGAATGTAGCAAAAAACCAAATATATTTAAAATATTAAAGGAATAGTATGCATTCAAATTCTTGGTAATAAGGAATCTAAACGACAAGAATTTTGTCTAGCACTGTTTCACACTGCAGTGAGTTACGCAAAGGGACTGTATGATAATTAATTACACAAAATGAGTGACAAAAGTTAGCCAAAACGAACTTCCTAATTCAGCAGTTTAGTTTAGTTGAGAAAAGGGTCTGGGTGGCCTTTACCAGTCATTTATTTGGTCAGACTGAAAATGAAATAACTTCTAAAGTGACCAGAATTAGTTTGTTTGTTGTGTTTTTATCACAGAAAGCTGGTTCGTTAAGTTTTGAACTTCATTCATCTCATTTAAAGGTAACTTTTTACTAATCTCTGCATGTGTGTCGCTACGGCTATTGTATTTGCCTTGTTATTGCTTTTAGTCACACCAAAAAATTAGTTCTAGCTTAAGTTATTCAAGCAAGGTCAGGAAATCTCAGTTCTTTCGATCTTATTCTACTACTGTACCTTTGATAATACGCATTTACGAGTAGTGAGATATTCTGTCCGCTTTTGTTTGGAGATACAGCTTTTTCAGCGAGCAGTATGAGGTTATGACATTCGTAGTCTTTTCGGCGTATGTAAATGATATACAGAACTCTGAACTCATTCAGATACTTGTCAGAATCATTGTTGTGAAAGGATATTTTGCTCTGTATAGGTTAAAAGGGTAAACAATGCGATAACTGTGACAGATTTTTTATCAGGAGTGTGTCAATGTGACTAGAGCTGCACACAATCGATACTTCTAGCCGCAAATATCATAACTACTACAGGTTGATTCCTTTTGATTACAGAGTAATGATGGAAGCCAAGGAGATTCTCTGCATGACAAAACTGGGTACTGCGTTATCACTCAGTTCAGATGTGTGTGAGGGGTCACCATTGTTAAATAAAAGGTACGGAGAAAACTGAAAACGGGAACCCAATATTTTAGAAGGTGCATGACGGTCTAGCACAATCTACACCAATATAAAAATATATATAAACAAAATAAACGGTAAATAGGGACCTCTGGTAAAAGACAAAGGAATAGAGTTGCACATAGTGCTTCACTAAGACTAAAAATCCAAACATTATATACAAGTAACACAAAGCCAGAAGTGTACCAGCTAGTATTTTGAACAGTTCATTTGTTTTATTTAAAGTGAATAATAAGTGGCTCAAGATCAAAAATCTCGGTTTCCTCCCATTATTTTCCCTATTTCAATCTGTAGTACCTAAATAACCCCTAAAAACAGCAGCTAGTGTCACTATCGGCAAGCAATGAAGTAGTGGCAGAATTGGCAATGTTTAAAACCTGAAGTTCAGATGTTTTTGTAAGGCAGCGTTTGACTCTAACTCAAAACGACACTTAATAACTAGCAATACACGAAACCACACGGAAACGGAAAAATCCATCGTCACTGATTTATGTGATGGACAACATCAAAATTCACTTTGAACAGTGAAAACAGTTGTACAGAAAGGAAAGATTTAACTTTAAGGGTAAAAGTTTTCAGTAGAATGATCCAGATCCAGCTGAAGTAAAATCCTGCTGAACAAAGATCTGAAACTGACTTGAAAAGTAGAATACGTCGAATAGTAGAGCTAACCTCTGAAGTTTCGGGTTATCGCAATCTCACAAATATTTCCCACATTTCAGATAAGCGACCATTAAGTGAACTTTCTCTTCATGGGATAAGTAAGTTAGTCCGCAGAGGTGGCGATACTATCAGACACCTAAATGACAACTTAGGTACATCAGCTATAGGGATGGCCACATATAGCTGCGGACCACATGGATTATTGCGTTGTAAACTAATTTGAAAACCTCAAAACATTTGCCGACTTATCACATAGTCTGTGGAGACTGTATGAAACTGTGTATAAACCACAAATTAAAATAATGTTTCCTTTGCATCGCTTTTTACACATTTTGTACATTCTTTCTAGTACTTGTAAAAAGGGATGTTGTTTTTCTGTACACCTTTTTTGATTGTGGTGGATATAGTGACTTTGCTGCTGCTGCTAAAAGTGGAAACATGGTGTGCTCCTATCCATTTCGACTTCCGTCTCCGTTGACTATTGTCTGTCGTGAATACTCATTGATTGTCTTTGGATTTTACAGGACCTCTCATCCTACTTCCAAATATTATGACAATCAAGCCAACCAACGTCGACTGTGGAGAGCTAACAAGTTTGCCTTCTGAACTCTGAAGTATCCTAAATTGTGGTGGACAGTACAGAAGAGATAACACTCAAGTAACCTGTTATTATTCATAACACTGACATTACTATCTTGAAATATAAGGCATGACTTTTCCTATTTCTGTATCAATGAATCTGTTTATGTAAATTATACGTAGTTTGCCATTTTGGTTTACTTGACATTTCTTTGGGTCCACTACGAATCCAACTCTAAATGAGAAGCAGAAAATTTTCTCTTAATCAAAGCAGGATTTCGGATAGGTGGATGCAGGTGCCTAGTTGTAAGAAAATGAAACGCAAGATCAACAAATGGAATGTCCGTTGGTCAAGTCGGACGTTCTCACGGCTGAAACTATACTTGAAAAGATAAGATCCCGATATTAGGAAGTTCGGGTACGTTCGCAGTCATACACATAGGGCTTGTTGAGAACAGCACTTATGACACTTGTGGGAAGCCTCCACAATCAGTAGTAATGCACAAAACCCTAAAGGTTATAGTTGTTCATGCCCCAGGGAGCATATAGCTTCATTGGCCACTCTAGCTCTCAGTTATAGGACACTACGAGCAACAACTAGGACATCAACTAGGATCTAAGGTGAAATGATTGCCGCCTTAGGAAAGATATAAGTTAAATCGTAGATCAAATTCTGCATGTGGGAGCAACGCTTTTTCTGTATTCGGACCTTCTAAAAACAGCTCAAAAGATAGCCATTCATATGACCCTTACAATGACAAGCCTAACTTATGGGGAACAAATTCAGAAGTTAAAACTCTTCTATTCATTACGATACAAGCAGATAGAGGTCTGACTGCGTTTTACAGAATAAAAAAAGAAGAGAAACAAACCCGATCTATCATTTTTCTTCTCGCCAAGCTGAAACTAAGACAGCATAATGATAGAATACGAAGATCAAGAGCAAACATAGCTATTTCGAAGTTTTGATTTTCACAACAAATATTTAGAGTTTCTAATCGTCTCTTTGAGTACGTAGTGTTCTCAACATTAATTCAAGCATATAAGAGAGGAATAGACAAGCGTAAAGGTATATATTACTTAAATTTCCTAGACAAAATCTGAAACACGTTTCTGGTTTTCTGCAGTACACAGATACACTCTGATCTGCATCACAGGTCAGTTAGTGCCTCATAATATGGTGAAACCAAAAAGGGCTACTAATCGTACATTTTCTGACTACCCACTGAAGACTAACTGAATTCTCCAACTAAGTGAATTTAGTATCTCAAAGTAATTTTCCGAAGTCGAAATCTCCATTAAGTAAAGGTGCTGACTGATTAACCGCTTTTATGCTTTGCAACTAACCACCCATTTTGGACTTTCACTGGCATGAAACAATAATAGTCACATATCATTAACCATGGGAAGCGACGAGTTGGACGTCCAAGGGTGACATGGAGGAGATCGTGCGAGGAGGAAATGAGAGCTTCTGGGCTGTCGTTGAACCAGGTTCAAAAGATCTCAGAGAACAGAGGTCACTGGAGACGCGCTACTGAAGCCTATGTCCCACTAGGAACTCAAGGGACAAATAATATATATATATATATATATATATATATATATATATATATATATATATATATATATATATATATATATAATATAATCACTGTAATTTTAGTCGACGAACCTTCAGCACTCTGCTTTCATCACGACATTCAATCCGCACAACTGACTACGAAGACTCTAAAACTGTAATCTGTTGATTTGACAGACATTCGATTTTACATATAAAGAAAACCAGAACTGAATTATTTATACACTTGTACTGACTAACAAAGAATGCAACGTAAACGATTAATTTAAATTACTGCCGCCATATAATGGATACAGGTGTGTCGTATTAAAGCAATCGCCGTTGAGGAAAGGCATACTGTGAAAATATGAGATAGAACGAAGTATTTTGATGAGCAGTCATTTATAATTCAGTGCATTCATCCAAATATTAAGAAACATTTACTTGACTGTATCTATAAATAATTTCTAACACAGGGTGCATCCAACTTCGCTGTGAGTGTAGAAACAAAGCTTACATAAAAGTCCTTGAAAGTCAGTACATCATCGTACGATATTTCAAGTCAGCAAATATTTTCAAGAGTGAAACTGGGAAGTGTGTTTTTAAAATAGTACCAAAACGCAGTGGCATTAAAGCAACCAACTTGCCTTCACTTTCATAGTAGGAACTTTGGGAAAGTACTCTGCTGGTGATGGAAATGTTTCAGCATCTGGAAAGCTAAAATCAAGTTTTCTTTCTGCCAATGACTCGAATGGTGCATATCCTATATCGTATCCTGAGTATCTTGACTCCTGGGGTAATACGATCCCGGTCCAATGTTTTCGCTAGTTTCTGACTTCTCTTGAAAGGTGAAAACTCGTTTTTGTCTATCGTACATTTTTCAACGAGATTTCGTCACAATAACAAAAGAAAAAAATTGATTTCCCTCAAAACGACACGCAGATGTCGTTAGTATCAGTAAACAAAATCGAACCAGTACTACCATTTCCAATCCAATATTTTCAATATTGATAGTTCGAGCGTGGAAAACTGTAGTTTCGCGTCTAGTTCCTAGGGATTGGTCCGAGTTGTTCTGTTCACTCCTGCAGTGGACGAGGAAATACCCTCTGCTTTTTTGCTTTTAGCTTCCACGAGGTGGATGTTTTGCGGGTTAGTAAGTTGTAATTTGTAGAGTGATTGGGGAGCCACGGGTTGCTGGGAAGTTTAGGGAACTGCCGTGACTCCTGTCTGTGTAGGTACCTGAAAGAGAATAGTAAGGTAGTGGTAAAGGAATGAAGAGAGAATAAAAAAAGAGAAGAAAGAAGAAAAATAATGATATAGGGAAGAGAAAAGGGAAGGAGAAGAAAAGGAGGGGTGAAAAGAGAAACAGGAACGAAAGAAAAGTATTTGGGAATTGCGCGAATGGTCACGTGGGTTTGGTTCCTACAGAAGAATTAGCAGGTAATGTGGGTGTATTAAGGAGGGAGATAGTGAGTGGTAGTTAGGAGGGAGTTGGGGGCTAGTGAGGTTGGTGACTACCTGAGTACGTCCGTGGTAGTCCATGCGAGGTGACATAACTGTCTAATCGCCTCTTGAATGAGTCGACTGAAGGAGCTATAACGATGTGTCGTGGTAAGGCATTCCATAAAGCACATACTCTTAGGGAGAAAAATTTGGACCTGAGTATGGTGTTGGCTCTCTGGTGTGCTATCTTAATGGGGTTTCCTCGTGAAGATCGTTGAGTTGCAGGCAAAATTGATTTGTTTGCATGGTCTGCCTGATGGGCGATCTTGTATGCCATAATGAGGTCACCCCTTTTCCTGCGATAACCCAAGGTAAATAGGTTTGGGTGTTTAAGTCTTTCAGGATACGTCTTTCCCCTTAGCCCCACAACCGATTTTGTTGCAGTTCTTTGTATTCTTTCAAGGAGATTAGAGTCTCTCTTGAGTGTTGGAGGAGCCACCGTATTGAAGACCTCCAGATGCGGCCGCACATAGGATTTGAAAATGGTGAGGAAGAGTTCGGGAGTGAGGGCGCCAAGCTGTCTACGCAGAAAGTGTAGAATGGCGTTCTCTCTGGTTGTCATACCTTTGTAGTTGGAGCTGGTGTCCAAGGTGTCGGAGAAGTTGAGCCCCAAATCTTTCTCCATGGACACTCTGGTGATAGCACGGTTGCTCAACATGTACTGGAAGTCGGTCGTACTTGCTTCATTTTTACCGATGTGCATTACTTTGCACTTTTCCAGGTTGAAGCTCAGGCCATTTTCCGACGACCAGAGCTCGAGTTGCTGCAAGTCCTTTTGTAGTGCTGTACAATCAGCTTCTTCGTTTACCACCCTCCAAATTTTTATGTCGTCAGCGAAGAGGAGGATGGGTGAGGATATTTTATCTGGCAGATCGTTGACAAATAGGAGGAACAGAAGCGGTCCTAGGATTGCTCCTTGGGATACTCCTGACGTCGAGGGTCTCCACTCCGACCTTATTCTGTTTACTTTAGTGCAGAACTGCCTCCCTTCCAGGTACTCCTTGAGCCAAGAGAGTAGGGGTCCACTTATACCAGCTGACATGATCTTGTGAAGCAGTACTGTGGGTGGGACACTGTCAAATGCTTCTGCTAGGTCGAGAAATACAACATGTACCGGTTTTCTGTTATCCCGGCTTTGTGTCCAGTTGTCCCAGGCGGTTAGTAAGTTGGTGGCACATGAGCGACCACTCCGAAAGCCATGCTGAGCAGTATGGACAGTGTTTTCCCTATTGAGGAATTCCCAGATGGTGTCAGCTACCAGGCTTTCCAACACTTTCAACACAATAGGGAGTAGAGCAATTGGCCTGTAGCTGCCAGGGCTTTTTCTGTCTCCTCCCTTGAATATGGGTGACAAGATGACGCTCTCCAACTCTTTAGGGAGTTTGTACGAGTCTGTTGAGTGCTGAAAAAGGTTGCGAAGTGGTTTAGTAAGCACCTGGGTGCAGTTTTTCAGAACCACTGGTTTTAGGTTATCGCAGCCAGGGGACTTGCCCGGACGTAGCCTAGATAGCTTCTCGTACACTTTTTTCTCTGTAATGGAGACGTGACAGAGGTATTCGTTATTTACGATATGGTCGTAGCGAGTCGGTGTGGATCTTGTGTCAGTGCTAAGTTGGGCTTGGAAGTGTGAGCTCAAAAGCTCGGCAATCTCTAGACTGCCTAGTATCCTCCCGTCATGGCCTGTGACAAGATTCACCCCCTTACTGGTCGACTTTCTTCTCGACATGAAGCGGTATAAATTTTTGGGATTGCTTTGTAACACCGCCGCCAAGTTTGTTTGATAGGAAAATCTGTCGCTACGCACTCTAATGTTCCAGCGGTTGCGAATCCTTTTGTAGTTCAAGAAGTCAGACTCCCTGCGTGATGTACGCCACTTGAACCAAGCCTGCTTCCTGCTCTGGATAAGCCTCTCTGTCCCACGCTTTAACTAGGAGGTTCTCACTGATTTTCCGTGTGTTACTTCTGGTATACTGTGACAGATGGCCCCAGTGATTATTTTCCTCACCTCTAGCCAGTGTTCATCTATTGTGAGACCAGCCCAGTCTGCCGGCCATGATGCATTCATGAGATGGTCCCTCATGGTCTCATACTTGGCCTTGCTGTATCTGGTTTTTTCGCAAAATTTCCCTCTGCACTTTCTAGGGGATTTTTTGGTCTGAAAGAACTCCTAGAAGCAACAGTGTACGGTTTGACGACATTCAGTATTGAGGCCGATATTCACTGGTGTATTGGAGGGGTGAGGTAAGGGTGCACGGTCAGTTATCCGAGCCGCTTGGCAGGCTGTCATCTTACTTTGCAGTTCTCTTTTTCTCTACCCTCTATCTCGTTCCCAAACGCATTGGTGTCTTACCCCTCGGTATTTTAAATGTACTACTCCTACCTGACTATTATATCTTATTCTTTTTTAGTCTTGTGTTCGAGAGTATTCTACAAGTACTTCAATTAGAGTGCATAGTTTTCTCCGGTAAACTCACCAAATAAGTGCTGCATAACTGCCGTCACTATCAGGTATATTTTTGAATCTGGTGAAATGTTCAGATATCTGCATTTCCACGTCACACTTTTCACGAATACTTGTTGATTTACTTCTTCATTTAGCGTAATCTCGGGTTACGGATCGTTTAATGAGTGTCAATTTGCACATGATTTTACTGTATTCCTGGCAGTTTTTTGATTCCCGTTTAGTGGCCCTTGTCAGGTCAGCTTGTGTTATATCACAATCCCATGTACTTACATTTCTTATCCAGAAGCTAAACCGTCCGCAAATAAAAACTCATAACAACTGAAAATTCCTCGGCAAACCATTGACATAAACTTTAATCAGTGGTGGCTTCTGTGAGTGTTCACTCATAAAATGGTGCTGGTTGAGTGGTGGCCACCGACACCCAATATTGAATAACAGCGTGTAAAACAGGATCTAAACCAAGAAGTCATTTTCCATGGATGTTGGCACTACCAACTCGAATCAAAGAAGATGGTGATCGGCTCTACTAAATAACTTCAGGAACCTAAGTCAGACTTTACTTAGTAAACATTACTTATCAACCGAAGCTTTCCACAAGTGAGCCATTCACATATAAGTGGTATTTTGTCTTGTAGTATTGTTTATCCCCAGTTTGACTTAACCGTCACGATGCAATTAAACACACCATCGGTCCCTGGTATTTTTCGCCACTCGCTTGAGAACTTTTATTGACCCACATCTCGCTGTGCTAGACCTCATAATTTCTATATACACTGGTGAAATACTTCCAGCTTCGCGTGACCGGTATGAAAGACTTCAACAAAGGGACATAGTGAAATGGAAACTCAGAACAGTCTTCTGCATTTTACAGACACTTTCAATGTATCAAAGAGGGTGCCATTGATATCGGAACAGTCCTTGTTTCCAGGCTTGTTCAGTTCTCGGTGGATGAAGTACGGCGCAGCATCTGCCTCATTCAACCCTATTTGTAAACAATAAGCACCAAAACCATACTTATTACGATGCGTTTCGGCAGATTCTGAGTCTGGCGAGCACGTTAATGCATTGCTATTTCTGCCGCAACACGAACAATGGACGAAGTATGAAAATTAGGTTTTATTTTCCAGAGATTCAAAGCATAAGCGGAAAAACCTCACGATCATTGGTGAAATGTGCTACCAAATCTTCCAGATGTTATTACTCTGCCTGAGAAAGTATTGCACTTTTTTTCCATCGTTGTAACTCTTTTTTGAGGTTTCAGCTATTCTTAGTCTTCAGAAAGCAGTTTAGGGTTGCTACCAAGTCGGATTTACTTCTAAGTGGCTCGGAAGTGAATGCAGGAACCACCGGGTGGATACTCCACTGAAATGCAGGAGTCACACATATGCTATAATTTTCACTTTTCACCGGAAAAAACGCCAATGAACCCGTGACATTCGAAAGGTACAGTGGTAGTTAGCACCGACAGGCGTTTTCCGGTGCAGTTTTTGAAAGTTTGGTGAGGGATGAACTTGGACGAAACAAGTACAAGCTCGCTTTACCCTGGGACAGCCGCGATGCCACAGCAGACTCTCTGGAGTCCTGTACCAATAAGCACTCAATCAGGCTTACAACTTATTCGGTTATGTCCCCGTTTGGTGGTGGTGTCAATGTTTATCAGAGGGCCTTTCGCATTACAGACAACAGCATTCCTACGGCGGTTAGGTAGTGCATCTAGGAGGTCGTTACAACAACAAACAAAACAGCTTAAATTTCCCGCTGTGAGGGCTCGGCTGCGCCTAACTTCCGACCACCTCTCCAATGCCCTGACGAAACAGTTACCAC